TAACAGTCATGTAGCTTACTGTTTGTCTTTTAATAATTCTATTTTCCTTCAAGATGGCTTAATTTTGGAAGAGTTGGTGAGTTTTGGAAGGTTTTGTATGCTTCAACATTATAATGACTTTGATGCAATAGTATAGATTAATGAAAGCAAATACTATTCATGGATGCAATCCAAAAAAGAAAAACTGGACCATTTAGTACATTGTGGAGGCTTTTGTGGTTGTTGCTTTGATATTTGCTTTTTAACTTTTATTTCATATTAAGGAGTTAGCATGCAAAACTATAAATACACAAAATCCTTTCAACAGCTTAAAAGAATGAACATTTCAGAAATTTTCTGAATTCAAGATAAAGAGAGGGAAGCAAAAAAACCCCGAACACACTATTCGAACAGTTTGATTCAGATAAGATAGAAACTCCCTTCTAATAGGAAAAAAAGGACAAACTCCTATCTGGAGTATTATACACGAGTTTTCTAAGAAAGGTATCATGAGTCCCTTTCCCTGTAATTTTTTTCTTAGCTTCATTTCAGAGAGCTGGACACACACTCTATAGAGATGGAGTGATAACTGATCACATCATCAGTGATTATTGTATAAAGTGCTCTGGAGTTTGCTGCTCATACATTTTAGGTAACAATTCCTTCCTTCTTCCTCTGCAGAGAGAACCATAGTACTTACCATCGAGGGCAAGGCTGGCTTAACGGCCCCCTCTGAGGTTAATGTTAACATCGTTCTGGACAGAGCAACAGGAAGCATCTGTGTATCTTACCACAAACTGAGATGATCCATTCTTTCCCCATCTGAAGTCTAAATTCTGTTGGTATTAAATTACTTAATTGCTCTTGCTTTGTACATTTGAGACATTTAGATATATAAAACATCATGGTAATAACCACTGAGAAAACTGAAATGATTTATGACTATGTAAATATTTATTTAATTCTTCCCAGTTGGTCAATATTGATTTCCCCCCCTCTATAATTTAAAGGAAACTTGCATTATGAAAGCTATTCTGACAAATCTTTTGTTCTTATGCTCTAGAACCATCTATGGTGACAGCAAAACTCAGGGAGCAATGTTAGTCAATTAACAGCTGCCAAGTTACCTAGAGGAGCAGATGGTATAATTGCTCATGCCCTACACAATGGGAGAGAGGAATACTTGAAGATATTTGCTCAAATATGCTAGAGAGTTTCCACAGAAAAGGCTATAATAAGACATATTTTTTTCTTCCTGTATGTTTGTCTTTTACCTTGGGTGATTCTCTTACATCGTATGTTTACCCTTTTAACCTGTGAGTTTTCACTATTGACTATTAATACATTAGTTATTTAAAAATAGAGCATACACTTTCAGTGTTTTTAGCAATAAAGAATGTACATTGAAACACACCATTAGAAAATGGCAGAATACTTAACACCACTCTCAGATTTTTTTTAACTAAATTGTAACATGGTCAAATGAAATATAATGCTTAAAAGTTACTGACAGAATTGTACAGATATTTTACTAATCATCTTAGACCCTTTTAGTGATTTTGACAACAAAAAGTCCACACTTGCTTCCTTAGGACTCTTCTCATTTAATCTAAAAGCCGTATCTTAGTTACCTAACAGTCTCAAAGAGATTGTACTGCTTAAAAATTCAGTATCTCAAATTTTCATTAATTCAACAAATATTTCTGGTGCAGATTTTGTGCTAGGCACTGTTCTAGAAGCTAAATCAACAAAATAGATCAAAAGAAAAAGAAAAGGACAAAAACTCTAGCCTTCAGGGAGCTACTTTTTTGAAAAGTAGGATCTGTATAAAAATAAAACATCCCCCAAACAATAATCCTTTTCTTTCTTGACAGACTTAAGCCACTTGAGGGCAGGGGCTACTGGTTCCCCAGTATCCTAATCACAGTGCCTAGCACACTATAAATGATTCACAGGTACTCCTTGATTAATTAGATAGCAGAAGTACTTTTTGCTTAAGTACAAATAACGGTTCTTCATCCCTGGTTCTATCTGTTCAAACTTTTCAGCCTGGCTTTCAAAGACCTCTTAACTGGGCCTTACCCTGCTGCTTCCTTTTCCTCCATTTTCTCGCACATACCTTCTGTTGAGATGTGCTCACTCCTGGTTTATCAAAGGCCATTTCCTCTGCTCCAGGTAAATAAAAATTCTCTTTAAAATAAAATTTTTAGATTCTACAAACACTGATCAAGGATCTTCTAGGTGTCAGGACTGTGCTAGAGATGTTCACGTATCTTCTGGAATCAACACAAGAACTCTCACTGGTTCTCTCAGAAGGAGTGGGAGATGCTCAGTTCTGAGAGCACCTGGCTCACTCAGCTACGCTCACTTGGGGCCTGGATCTCCCACAACAACCTGAGGCAGCCTTCCTCCTTCCTCTGCCCCTTCCACGCCCTTCTAGGTTGTTCTCCAAGGGCTTCCCTGATGTTATTTATCTTTGCAACTAGACCATAAGCTGCCTGGGCACAACCATGAATTACAGTTTCTTTTACTTCCCTGCAGAGCCTAACCAAGTACCGTGCCCAGTAAGCACTCAAAATCTCACTAGCTGAGAAGTTTAACCAACTCCAGCTAAGTCTCCTATTTTCAACTGTTAGAAAGTTAAACTTTGGAACAAATTCTATCTTTTGCATTCAATTCCAGATGGTCAGAACTTGCTGTGTGAAAAAATACTTCCTTTTAATCTTAAGTATTTCATTTGAGATTCAAGTTATCTTTGATTTATAAGTAAACAATTTCATGTTCAACTGATCTGCTTCTTTCACTGACAAACCTGTTCATTGTATTTATCCCAGCAAAGAAGACCTAGCATTTCTAGGTTTTCTTTCATTCTTTTGACCACACCGTGGCTGCTTTGTATCGTTGAGGTACGGCATGCTAAACTGCATGGACAAGCTGCATTCTGATGAGAAAAATCTATCCAGGGTCAAGTGTTCTTGTCAGCCAGCAAATAAGCCACAGACATGTTTAGCTTGGCCAACAGTTGGGGAAAAAAAAAAAAACCAAAATATTTTTAAGCCCAGTTGTCTCAAGTTCTACTCACGCCCACCTTCCCTATAGCCTTCAACCAGGGCAGTTCAGATCTCTGTCCTAAATCTAGACTGTAAAGCCAGTGAGGACAGGGTCTGTCTGTCTTGTTCACTACTTAACCACTTCAGGATGCTACAAATCAGCCTCATAATATACAGCAGTATCTCTTCAACTTTTTGTCCTAATCCACCATAAAAATATACATACATGCACCTGTAACTGAAGAGAGCTGTTTTGTGAAATAATACTTGGACCACAATGACTTTGGATAGTTTCTCTTTTGTATCATTCTCTTTTTTCAGTAGGTCATAAGCTGCTACACTGATTTCTTAAGTTCCCTGTTGTAGACACTCAATGCCATGGAACTGAGGTGAGGTCTCTTGCCACTGTATCACCCATGACCCTGAATAAGAAGACCCTGTAATTATTTTCTGTTAGAGTC